TATTCATGAGGCTGTTTACAAGATCTTATAAAGAGCACCTCTGGTTGCTATAATTTTTTAATCAAATGGTGGGTGCTGAGTTAGCTGCCTTTCTTGAAAACATTGAATATTGGAATAGGGAAAGGATAGTATCAGTAAACAAGAACTGATACTAGCAATTTTTGCTCCTATGCAGCCATACAGACCTAATACTAAATAGGTTATCTGAATCGCCACTGTAACGTGGTCAGCCAGATTATTAACAATAGCCTTCTAACACGCAAGCAGATACATTAAGCCAAAAAATACTCTGTTTATGTACAGCCTGACCAGTAGACCAAATGTTTTCAAGCACAGAGTTTCCCCTACCACACTTTATGAAGTGAGGGCTTTTCAGCAAAGGTATCAGTGAGGTACCAAGACCTGATTAGGAATGGAAGTCATACCACATCTCAACTCTAACAAGGACATGGAAAGAGAGTTCAAAACTCAGCAACAGAAGATGCTACTGCCCATGCAGACACAAGATACTGCTGATGAACTAATGTGATGCCAGCATCTTGCACATCTAAGTGTAAGGACTGGTGTCAAGCTTGGAACTACAAAGCACGTGTTTTTTTCCTCTTGCTTTTAAACACTTAATGTTTATTAGAAGGAGAAAATGTGCACATCTAGAGAAGATACGGTATAGCTGAAAGTTAGGTTTCATAGAAATTACATAAAAAACACTTGGAAACTTTTGCTAAATGTGAAAGGAGAAATCTCAGTAACAGAAAACAGACATCACCCAGACAAATTTCGTTAACATGAATGAATGTATTTAAGCAGTCAACAGTTTCATCATCATTTTAATGGTGGTTGGGTAAAGCCCATGCTGTCATACTACTTTTGCTGCTACAACTTTATGTAGAAACTGCAAAAGTACATGTAGGTTTTTGGCAAGAAGATTTATTTAGATTATAAAAACGTCTGCATTGTATAATCTGGGCTCACCAGTCTAGCAGCAAATGTAACAACCAAGTGGAAATACAAGCTTTGTCAGTAACAGCATAGCTCTTACAGGTGTGGCAAAATTAAACTAAGGGAAGAATTAGGCTGACAATTATTTTTAAAAGACATAACTACTACTGGCTTGATGATTTATTAATGATTAACATTTAAACAGCTTTCTGCATTTATTCCAGACATAGGAGTTTAGGGCAAGTTCCAAACAGCACTTAGATTGGGGTGGAGCTCTGGTCTGGTCCTTTTAAAGTTAACTTTCTGGTCCATTTGGGGTTTAATTGTGCTATTCGCTATGGGGCTTTCAGACAGTAATGAAAATGCTGTTTGAGAAGCTTTAATAGAATAATCACCAAGTTGCTACACATGTATCAACACTACTCGGTGTTCAGTGAAGCACACAAATGGTATATAAAGTTTTTTAGCATTGCTACCTTGTGTAATGGACAATTTACTTCTGCAGAGTAGACTGTATTGCAGCTTAAGTATCTACCACACATCAAGCTTACATTTCTGTAGAAGTATTTCTCTTATATACATTACTTTTCCTGTGTGCATTTCTTTCTGCATTGGTTTAACTTCTTCTGTTCCGGGGACTATTCAAAACTCCATGACCAGTGAGTGAAATGGCAGCTCTCAGGAGCTCCACTCTCCGTAAGTGATTACAGCACAGTCCACTGCATAACTTCTGCCCCTTTGGCCAACAGAAGCCAAGAAGCAATTTTTACAGACTCATTTTGTTTAATATTTCCTTTTCAGGTAGAAACAATTCAAAACACAAAGCCAAACTGTTACTTGAACAGATCTGACTTCTTAAATGGTCATCATAATCCCAATTATTTGTCTCATGCCATAGTATTTATTGTTAATAATCCATAAATATTTTTATATTGTTAAACTTGTATGTAAAGGCACAGAATCTGAAAACTTTACCACACAAAGTCTGTAATATTGTTTAGATCACCTCTAAAACTAATAAATAGCATTGAACACAGTTGCCTTTATCAAGCAGACTTTTAATCTTATCTGAAGCAGCAACAGGTTCAAAAGACTATCCCCACTAAACCTAGCTGACAGTCATTATATTTTAATCTATAATTTTCTTGATTAATCCAAACCTTTTTCATTATTTAATCTGTCATGAAGCCGGTAGGTCTGCCATTTCCCATGTTCTCCTTTTTCCCTCTCTAAAGGCATTTTAATCTATTGTCTCATTAGCATACAAGTTCATATGTGTGCCACCTCCCTGTTCAATTTTGTGCATGTCTTAAGTCCTTCTAGCTGAGGCTGTACACGACATACACCAGTTGCTCAGAGATACCAGGCCTTTGAACTTAAAATAACATGAACAGCAGACAGGGGTAACATAAAAGAGCTGTGCAAAGCCAGTCTGAAACAGAAGGTGACTACTACAGCAGTGATTTTCTCATGCGCTTCAGGAACCTGCTAATTTGAGAATGCATGAGCACTTTTGCTCATACTGGAAGAACAAGTATGATGAGCACGCTCCAGAACTTCTAGTCTGACACTGTGCAAATGAGCCTTGATCAGTAGAGAAGGAGGTTGCTAGCAACACTTAAGAGCTAGCTTTCTCGGTGTGTCCCAGGTTCATGACTAACCAGTAATCAAATGTCAGTCTGGTGGCTATGGAAGTTTGTGACGGCAGGAAGAAAGTTGGCTACCTGTGAGCTATCACCATGGGTAAACAGAGTGAACTCAGAAAAGTATTGGTGGGCTAAGAGTTGTCTTGTTTCAGCCTGAAGCAGTGATTACTTTTCACACAGAGGTGGAAGCAAGATAGCAGATTAGATCCAATTGTGTAGTTTCAGAGTCAGGATTGCAGTTAACTCTTCCAGAGACCATTAACAAATGGATTAAAGTTTTCTTGTTGGCTATGAAACAAAGTTTAGGAGGATTGGCAGAATGAGTCACCCAACTCAAATTAAGGTCTTGACCTGGTATGGGTGTTGACCTTAAATTAGGTTTCTACACAGGTGTTACATCACCAGCTTTAAAAACATTCTGGTAAATACTGAAATTAGAAAAGGCACTGGATTAGGAGTCCACCTAGATTAGAAATCGCATTTTAATTGCAGTTTCCTTACAGGCTGAAGAGTCAAGAAGAATTAACAGTGATCTTCAAGATGTCTGTGAGGCCCCTAGATAGACAGGATGCCTAATGTGGTTACAAATCTTTATCATACAGATGAGTTAGCCTATGTTAACTGCCCACCAACCTGACTAAATCATGAGTGATCAGTGCTCTCTTTGAAAGTGGGATGTGGTCAGAAACTTGTGTGTTGATGTTGGAATAAAGATGACAGCTAGTTGAACAAGACCTATTAAGGTGGTCCTGCAGACAGAAAAATTGTGGGGCTTCTGTTGGCCACGCATCTTCATCTACCTACAGAGCCTTCTCTGGCAGTCACATACAAGCTCAGGTGTCCTGACCTACTTTAGCCTTTGTTAAACTTCTCAGATAAATGGGGCAGCGCCATGGACTAATGACTGGCTACAGTTATGAATGTACAGAAATAACCTATTAGAGGTTTCTTTGTCTCCTCTCTTCCTCCCAGCAGAAACCAGGGGAATAGCATGTACCTCTTTAAATGCAATAGCCTTTACAGTCCATCCAGCAAAGATTAAGAAAGAAATCCTCTGCCTTAAACTTACCCTATATTTAAGGGAGGAAAATTTTATCCAAGGAACACCCCAAAAATAAAAGGTTTTCCCCTGCACTGTTTCTAGGAATTAATTTATCAGTCAGTGAGGATCCTGAATAGTGATTACAGCAAAAATCAAGCTAAAGTGTTCACTTTGAAAGTCTGAGGTTTACATTTGACAGAACAGGCCAACTGTAGATTTTTATAGATAAAATATCCCCAAATAACGATAGATGCATCTGTCTCAGTCCTCACAGCAAAAATAAATGTACTTTCTTTGTTAACACATGCAGTATCACATTACAAACTTAGTTATGCTGGTAGTATCATCAATAATATTGACTAATAAAGCTTTACTCCCTCACCTCTAATTTGTATTCTCTTACAGTTCACAGATACAGCCTCTTCGGTCAGGGATTTTATGTAATTAAATATGAAGTGATTTTATGGAATTTTTAAAGTTTATAATGCTAAGCTTACTCATTTTTATTATTCACTAGACCAGAAAGAAAATAAAAACAGAGGAACTTGATCAGACCAAAAGCCCATGCAGCTCAGCACCATCTCTATCCAGTGGCCAAAGAACGGAGCACTAAGGAAGAGTGTCAGAACAGGGAAGCACATTCCACTGCTTCTGCAGAATTTACTCCCAGACACCAACAGTTTTGTGGCTCAGGGACTTTATGAGCCAGAGACACTGTCTTGCATTTAATACCTGTTGATCTACTTCTCTTCTTGTGAATATGTCCATTGCCTTTTGAACCCATTAAAGCTTTTAGGATTCTGTAAGCAAAGGCTCACTTAGCTTAACTGTGTCTTGTATATAGGAATTTGAAGAAATAACATAGGTCAGCTCCTGGCTGCTAGACTGGTATTTTGAGAGGCAAAGGAAAATTAGATCTCACCTTGTTAGTGAGACGGAAGTTATTAGAGATCTGTGGGCTGGCTGGATCAGGCTATAGACGCAGAATGAGATAGGGCACAAATCGCTTAATTTTCTTTCCCTGCCTGCAGGGGATTTCTTCCCACACACAAGCAAGCAAGTAAATGCAATACTAACAGTATGCGAAGGCAAGAAAAGGGCATGCAGAGGAACTGTATTCTCCAATATTACTATTTTTTTCAGGAAATGAGGTGCTATGCTGATGCATGTTCCACTTCACCTTAATCCCTACTTACAGAAGGCATTTCCTCATGGTAAACAGTAAGAATAGGTCCTACTTCTATGTCAGGCTAGGAGCATATACAAAGTAATGCTCCTGCTGTTTTTGGTTTATGATCCTGACTAGCAGGTCTAATGGTTTCCTTCTGGAACTGAAGCTAGAAAAACTTACTATGCATCCTGGTACAAATTGCAACAATATTTTGTTATGCCTGTGGAAGCTACACATAAGCTAAATCTACACATAAGATGCTATGAGAACTCTGAAATAAATTTTGACTTTACCTTCTTTAATTTTAACTTTCCAGGTTGTAGGCTTGGTCTTTGCTGCAAGAGAAACTTCTGGTGACTTTTGTTCTAAAGTAGCTTTCATGTCTTTGACCACTGAAATAAATCTATAGAAAAACAGGAAGTCTGGGAGACAGATTAATTTCATTTGTACAGAAGTAGGCTTCTAGAAGCTGCACAGCAAAATGGAAATTGCTCTTTGAGTGTTCAGATAAAAAGCCAAATCGTGAGTAGTCATAATGGTAAGCCATTGAAAAATCATAATTTTACCTTTTACTTCACCCGTGCCCTTTAAAAAGGAGAAAGGAAAACATACTTTGCGTTTCAAAGGACTTGAAGAGATAATAGAAGCTCACCTATTTATCTTGAAAAGCTCAGATTTTTCTCTTATATTTTTAAAGGTCCTGACCCTTACAGGTTCTTTTCAGGCCTTACTGCAACGTTCATCTTAAGTAGTATTTTTTCTGAAGTGAAGGTAATCTGAAAATGAAATAACACAGAAATGGTGGGGAACAACTGACTGGGTGACTGATGGTCTATGATAGCTGTTGAATTACCCATCACTCCTTCACAGAGCAGCTAGCCTGACTGGAAGGTGTTTTGGATGTGTACATTTGTATTAAAATGGGTCATATTTTTGTAGTCTCTTATTAGACTGTTCCTTACCCTGATTAACTTTGCCTGTGTTCCTACTACTGAGCTGATATACCTGGTTTTACACCAAGGTTCATGAGCACGTTAACATTATGCATATATATATAGATAGATAGATAGATACAGATATTCGCTCAGACATGGCTGCACTGGAGAAGAGAAACTTGAGTGCAAACAGGAGTGGAATTCAGATCCTATTTACATAACACAAACATAAGTTGTGCCAGATCTTCCTCACACCAACAGATCCCCAGAGATACTCCCTATGGCTATTTATTAAACATTTCAGGTTTGCCTTCTACCCTGCTCCTCAATGCTCATTATTCAACATAATCCGTGACACACTATAAAAATATACATCAGTGAATCAGCCTGCTCATTTGCATGGATTACTCACGAAGTGTGGTGAGAGCAGAAAGGAATGTCCTGATAAGTATTTGTAGGGCCATGGCTTTGGTTATGGGCAGGGCTTTGCCTCTGGGGAGATTTCCCTGCAGCAATATGAGAAGATATGACAGTGGAAATACCACCGTTTCAGGCTAACTTTGTAAGAATAAGCTAACAATGCTGCCTGAAATAAATAAATAAAATAAAGAGAAGCTGCCTACCCTTCATGCCAGGGACAGAAGATAGCATTTGGAAGAGGTCCACATACTTACCAATATTATTAGGAGGAACCACTGGGCCTCTGATTGTTCATAGCCTTTTGCAGCATGGAATGGGTTTTCTTATGCATGTTGCCAGAGACAGATCACCAACTCAGTCTCTCAGGCTACAGACTCAAAGGCTTGAGGAACTGTCTTTATTTCCAGGCATGGCCAAGATGCATCCTTTGCTCTTAGCTGAAGAAACACTGCATAGGTAAAACCGGTAAGAATGATGCAGCATACATTAGAATATTATACATATATTAGAAGCATACATATTAGAAGCATCGCATTAATGGATGTTTCGATTTGTATGTTAAAGGGGTATAGGAAGAGAGAATATGTAAATGTGTCCTTAGGATATATACTACTTCTTACAATGGGAAATCTTATGCAGCAGTAAATGAGCACACTTATGCAGAACTAAAGCACTCCAAAAAAAAATAAAGATGACTCCTACCACCTCTGGCCTCATCCTATTCTCACACACAAGTAAAGGTGAGTTATTCAGCGAATGTGTCTAGAGCATTTCATGTGTTACAAATTGGCAGTGACAGAAACCCAGAAACAAACCAACACCTTACACTGAAGCTGGGCTCACTAACAAATAGGTCACAATACATGTAACTACAGCAGTATGTATAGGAATGTCCTGTCAACTTTTTGTTTTGTTAACTTCTGTACACAGCCTTCAGCATGATCCTGCTTCCCATAACTTTCCCCATTTGGACCAGCTACTATGCCAATACTTTTTAAATGCCATGTGCTTAACAATTTGCCCCTGCCTTCACCCTACTTCCTGCTACCCTAGAAGACAAAAACCTCAGTGATGTAGTGGTTTCAGCACACATAACTGAGAACCCTTGTGGACTTTTCACTCCACTATATTGAGTTCCAGAAGAGGCCTTGCTACAAACTCATCCTTACCCATAAAAAGATATTCCAAGATTTTGTCTAGACTTTGGTAGCTTTTTAAGGTCGTATATTTCAATTCCCAGTTAGGGTGCCACTTAAGACAGACTTTCCAGGCACATTACTGGATATCAGGATGAAAAGGTAGTATCTGCAGTCTTGTTGAGGATATGGGATGAAGGTACATAACCAACTGGAAAAGAGGATAAGTCATTCTCCACCAATGTAACTCTCACTTTGCTTTGACTCTAGAACATTCCTTCTGTGCCCATCAGAAGCCTAAACACAAGCAGACAAGCCTAAAGGGTAGAAAGCACAAGGATAAGAACAAATGCATGGTTGTCTTTCAGCTGAAACCCCTCTACATGAGGGAAATGGCATGGAGCACAGGCACATGCCAAGAAAATGCCTGTGAAGGGAAATGTGAGCATGTCATGCTCTAGCCATGCTTCTGTGTACCATCTTGCTCTGTTGCTTAGGGTGTGAATGATCCTGAGCTTGTGCCTCCAAACTGCTTGCTTTTTCAGAAACAGAAAAGACAGCAGGAGTAGGCACCACATCTTGACAGCTTTGCAAAGCTGGAGCTTAGACTCTGTGTCAGGTAGGGGCTTCCATGCTGTGGGGGGCACATTCTGGAGTGTATAAGGCAGACTAGTCATTGCTAGAAGTGCTTATATGTGTGTTGGCATAAATGGTGGAGAACTAGTTACTAAGTCAGGAGGCTACTCCCACTCAAGTCAGTATGGACAGGAGCTGCCTGTTCCAAGGGGACCAAGTATCACGGAGTGCTTTGAGAAGAGTCGAACAATTTAAAATTTAAGCTATTCTTTGTACTTGTTTCAAGTATGACATCATCATCCTTAGATACTGTCATCCCCAAATATCACAATGCACTTCCAAAAAGGCTTACTGGAATTTTATACAATAGCATTATTTCTATTTTAAATACCTCTTGATGCATGCTATGGTCACGCTTGCCTTTCTCATCACCAACACTATATTCATGATTCACTGTCACCCTGTGACCAACTGCTGCACACAATTATTTTAACCTCAGTTATTTTCAGCTAATGAACATACAGTCTGCAGCAGAGGCTTCTATTATTAGTTAGATATTAGCTGACAGTATTTCGATTTTTCCCAGATTTCTCTTATTCCTCAAAGACATCTGGTTACTTCAGTTTGAAATGTGAAGTAATTAGTACACTCATTAGGGTCTGAGTCTCTGCTTCAGTCAAATTACTGACATAAGCCATTGACTCAGTTTTTGGTGCATTTTACAATCAAGTTCAACCCTTCAGCATGCATTTTTCAGAGTGCAAGGTTGGTTTCTCTAAGTCAGCTATCTAGAATGTCTGGTTACCATTTCTCTCATGAAAGCTAGCTCTTTTGCACTGATGATTACAGGCAGTAGCTGGACCAAAATGAATAGTGGAAGGAAACAAAGGCAACAGAAATATAATATATCATCATATGAGCTGTGTATGAGCTACTTTCTGTAATAATTAGCATCCATGTTACAGTTTTTACCCACTAGAACAGGTTCTGCTGAATTCCTGGCAGATGAAACAGAAGAACCTTGAACTTAAAAATGACTTAAACTCTACTGCGTTTGCATTGGTAGCTTATTCAAACCCTGAAGATCCAGCAATACCATAAATGCATTCAGCTAATGAAGAGGAGGCAGCACCTCGCTCCTGCTGTATCTTTAGAAGTATCTTCTACCCTCAGCAAAGCACGCAAGAGGAAGCATTTATCTGTGAACCGAGATTCCAGTTTTAAACTCTACTCTCATTATTATCTTCTCTTCCATCTTGTGATGGAAAATATGAACAATTAACAGTAGCATATAAATGCCTGTATCACAAAAAAATAGTGTCTGAATATTCAGGATAGATCTAAGACTCGTGATATGGACGCACTAATAATAATGTACTAACTCTGCATATAAACATCTACCGAATATTTGGATTTCGGAGATAACAGTAGTAGAGATTTCATGTCCAGCAGGGACCCCTGGCGTTTAAAGTAGTTATAACAATGATATTCCTAACAGAATGAATCTACTTTGGGATCAGCTGCGTTTCTCTGTTCACACATATTGCAGACTCTTCCTCAGAGGTTAAGGAAAAACAGATAGTTAAACTTGGTTTAACTTCTGCATTGTTTTAACTGCTAAGAGCCACAGTCCACTTTCAGAGAGGCTACTAAGTACCATAAAGAAAGTTACAAGAATGCTTACTTGTATTTAAAAATTCATTTTTGTTGCAGAAAGTGATTACTGAGAATTATGTTTTGTCCTGGAGCTTCTGTTTTGCACCTTTGTTACTTCGATCTCTGATTCAGCCAACATCTCTGCTCTGTTCCTCCCCCTGCGTCTTCCTTGATTTTATCTCTTGGTTTAGACTCATGCTTTTCCAGGCAGTGTGCAGGGTATTCTGCCTTTTTCATTTGAACTTGATTTTATGTCTAATTCCCATCAGAAGATTGTCTCTGGCATTCCTGGAAAAACTTTTGCTCTTGCCGTTCCTAACACCGCCCTCTGCTTCTCAAATCGGCAATGCATCTGCAGACCTCTTTACATGGAACTAAGGTGGCTTTGTTCTGTACTGCATTCTAGCAATTATCAGAAGATCTTTTCACAGTCATCATACCCTGCCATCACAGCTTTGAGGAATATTATAACATCAGAGGGGATGTATTGTAGTAACACATCTTTATTCCAAAACCAGCATGAAGGAATCTAAACCCCCCATATATATTTGTTACAATTTGCATTTAATTCAGATTATATTTAAGGCATGATTTAACAGCATTACCTTTCCACTCCACAAACACAAATTCCCCATACTCATATGCTAGCTGTGTAACACTACAAACAGCACTTTATAGAGAACGTGTGTAAACATGGACATTCAGTGGCTGGGGAATAAAGGAAAAACAGGCTCACCTTGCCTCCTTTTTATTCCTATGCTGCTTTAATGGTATCTGCTACGTTCTTCGCTGGGACACCAAAACCCCAGAAATAATAATTTAAAAATATAAATTTACCCACTCCCAAAGGTTTAGTTGAACCCAAAACTTTCTCCCAGGCTTGTAAGTGATAAACAAAAATCAGTGACAAATCTGCGACTGACCCCACCACAAACAAGACCGCCCTTGAGGGTGGCCCCAGCGCCTCGCAGGGAGTTCTGTGGCATACTGGCAGCTCCGAGGACACGCGCAAATGGGGACGGGAACGATACTGGCAACAATGGACCTGGACCTGGACCTACACCACGGCCCCTTCACTGCGCTCCCAGCCATTGCGCGTCGAGGAACCGCCCCCGAGAGGCCGGCAGCCAATGGAGGCTGCCCGCGCTCTGCCAATCGCGGCTCGCCTGGCGCGGAGCATGGAGGCTGGTGCCGCTCGGCCTACGCGGAATCGTGCGGTCAGTCGCGGGTGAGCCGCTGTGCTTGGGCTATGCACTCCCTCGCCCAGGAGATCCGCAGCTTCTCCAGAGACAACTTGCGGAAGCAACGCACCCGCGTAACGACGCTGACCGGCAGGAGGATCATCGAGACGTGGCGCGGAGCCTGCTTACAGGTGGAGGAGGAGGAGGCGGCGGCGGCGCCCGGCGGTAGCGGCTATGTGCAGGACCTCAGCGCTGACCTGCAGGTCGGCGTCGTAAAGCCCTGGCTGCTGCTGGGTGAGTGCGGCCGGGGGGCAGTGGCTGCGTGCCTCGTCCCTCCTGACCGGGCCGCGGGCCCGGACCCTGACCCACCGCTCGTTTGCCCCGGAGAGCCAGCGCTCGCTGCGGGGAGCGAGCCCCGGGGCCTGCCGGTGTGGTTTCGCGTAGCGACCGGCGTGCTTTCTTCCCAGGGTCGCAGGATGCTGCTCACGACATGGAGACGATGAAAAAGCATAAGGTAACATAACACAGAAGTCGAAATGCCTCTCGCGTGCTGCTTATTGGTGCGTTTAAATTAAAAAGTCTGAAATATCCCTAAGAAAAATTATATTACATTTTAATTTTTAAAAGGCTGCTGGTTTGCAGGGAGATGGATGCCTGCGAGCTTCACCAGAAGCTGGAATCCTTTGCTGCAAGAGAATTGACTGTTCAGAGATGTTTAACGGCAGGCGTTTCAGCTCCGGACACCGGGCAGTGTCAGGCATCCCTGCCTTGTGGGGAGGGGTGAAACAAGGAAAACAAAGCAGCAGCTCTAAGTCTGTCCCGAACTTTGGTCTTACTCTTCTGCGTTACAGTAACGGGGTGATAAGGCCTTCGAACAGTGGTGCTTCTGCAGGACAGGGGAGTGCGCACCAGTCTGGCATCTGGTGCCATCTAAGTGTCACTTCACTGTAAGTTAAAATAACCCACGACCTGGCCGTAGCCTGAACAGGGCAAAGATGACAGGAGGCCAGAGGTGGTCTCACCTGACAAGCGCAGGTATAGTTTACTCTGAAATCCTTCTGCTGCACTGGCAAGTACTGCTTAGTTCCTCAGCAGAAAAACTGAAGTTGATGGGTTAGGGTAGGCTTGAGATCTGGGGGATTGCTGGGTGGTCTGTGCTCTCATTCCTGTTGCTTTCTCTTTTATTTTCCACCTGTGTGTTGAGAGCTCCCTTTTCTGTTGAAAATCCGTACTTTAGTCTGTGTTTAGGTGATCGCAAATCTTTTAATATCCTCTCAAAAATAACCCAAAACAACAAAGAAACTGAAATTTGGCACAGTATATGTTAATGTGCATTAAAACTTTGCACTGAGAAAAGCATACCATAGACAGCATATGTACGTAAAACTGAACATTGCAGTTGCGTAAAGTACAGTCTGTGTATGCCTAAAGAAGAATTCCATCTTTGCTATTGCTCATTTTACCTGCTATCGTCAGAAAATGCCCATTTCTCTCCTGTATTTTTTTTTTTTCCTTTTTTGACTCAGGTTACTCATGTTCTAAATGTGGCATATGGAGTGCAAAATGCCTTCCTTGATGACTTTACATACAAGACCATTTCTATTCTGGACCTCCCAGAAACTGATATTATCTCTTATTTCCCAGAGTGTTTTGAGTTTATTGAGAAAGCCAAGATACAGGTATGGTATATCAATTATTGATGTTAGTAGTTATCCTGTTTGGATTATTTATTACACTGTTTAAAATCTAAACCAGCTTCTTTTGTCAAAAGAAAGTATGGTACTAAAATCATAGTTTTGCCACTGCCTTTTTAAATTTTAAATTGAGAATCCCAGCAATTTCTAAGCATTTGTAGAGATGTGGCACTGCTTTAACCCCCATTCTCTCCAGCACTGGTTTTTCAGGATGACTGTCTTACATGTTTTAGAAAAATGCTTCCTTAATACAGTAGGACCAATGGCTGACTTCAGATAAAGAAATCAGATTCTATGTCCAAGTCACTGCATCTGACAGAGGAAAAAGATGAAACATGACTTTCCATAATTTGTCCATTGGGGATGTTGTTTTGAATTAGAAGCAAGCCTAACAGGGCTTTTACAGATCTGTGTGGTTTGTCAGCAGTAGTCTGCCATTCTTGTGCTTTCCCCTGGATCATCGATCGAGTTGTGAATCCACATACAATTACGTACCAAGGCTGTCAGAGAATGTTAAGTAGTCTTGGAGCCAACCTGGGATTTAACTGCTAACAAAAGATATGACCTAGGGAATGGGGTGAAGGCACTCCTTCTGGGGTTGCCTGGCAGCCTTGTCTATTCCTAAGACCATCCCTGACTTCTATTTGTTAAATTCCAGCTTACTGTGTAATTTGTGATAACTGTTGCTTTGGTATCAAAACTATGAATTGACAACCAAACCTTATTGCATGTTATTCCACCATATCTACCATATTCATTATTTATGTAGGTGTGGATAAAAGCAGATAATCTTGCCCCAGCTTTCTTGGTGTTACACAATGTTCTTTCCTTCTTTCATTTATTATTTACAAGCTATGTGATCCACATTGTCACTTAATGACCTTTTTAAGGTTTCTAGTTGCGGTTTCAACTTCATTTCAAAATGAGACTTGCCATTCATAACCGCATAGTGTTGCCTTCTGCCTCTGATGTTTGTTTTCCAGTTACTGTTATGTAATTTTCCTCAAAAGTTTTATAGCAATGTTAATAGTTTTCTAATGGGAGAGTTGGGTTAAAGAGTGGGTAATTGATGGAATAGATGGCTTCCAGGATCACTTCACAAAGCATGTAATAGTAGTGTGTGGAGACGGATCTCTGGATGGTTTGAATCACTTTATTTGCTTTGTTAAAATAGTGTTAAAAGATCTTATGAGAAATTATATCATGGAGTGCTTTTCAAGTAATCATTTCCTTATATGGGGGAGGGAGAGGTGCTCACTGATGAGAGAACATGATACATGAGAAATCATTACTAGAACATCATTAACTTACTGAAGGAGTATGTGAGCACTTGAATTTGAGAATGCAAATATAGCCTGTACTGTTCAGTAAGTCACTGCCAGCTGGTAGTTGTAATAGGATTGAATTTACTAAAATGGTAACTGCTCAATTCTGTATACATCATGGTGAAATTCTCATACTGATCAGAGCTCACCTTCTAGGCTCCAAAGTGGCAGGCAGATTTTCCATTACCCATGTCAGATCACAGTGCTGTGAATAAAGGATTTCTTTTTTATCTTTCTGTTTAATATCAAATTATAAAACCTCTAAAATCTTGTTCTTCCAGGCAAGAGATCTTGGCTCATTCGTGAACATCTCTCCTTATTGCTCCCTCTCTCACTCCTAAAGAAAAAGCCCTAGCACCACTGTAAAGTGGATCCCTAAGGAACTACATTAGTTTATGGCTCTTCACCAAAAGCTTTATCCTTTTTAATTTCTTTCCTCGGTGAGGCTTTTTGCTCACTGTGTATAACCACTGTATAATAACTTTTCTCTTGGGGGAAGGCGATTTTGCTTCCCTCTGTATAAAAATTAAATGAAAACCTTGGTCTTGAATCTTCAGAAGTTCTTGCAAGACCATGAACAATTTCTGGGTAGGCAGATTAGGCTAAATGGATCAGAACAAGGAGTTCCCAGTGAATAGACTAATGACATACTTGCAATCTGTTTCTCACTTTTATTTTGTAATAACATTAATACAAAATTAGTTAAGAATTATGTGCCAAATTAATCTTTGTATAAAGAAACGAGCTTATCAAAGGAAGATAAATGTTCTCAGTATTAAATTTGATTTTATGTTGTTGCCCATGCTCATTCATGTTCAGTAGTTTTGAGGTCTGTTGCATGGATATCACTATATAATTTTTGGCAATTTTCATGGTTTAAGCCAAGCTGGTAACTCAGAACCATGCAGCTGCTTGCTCATTCCCCCCTTTTCCCCACTCCTGCTCCCAGAGGGATGGGGAGAAGAATCGAAAGAATGTAAATCCCACTGGTTGAGATAAGAACAGTCCAGTAACTAAAGTATAATAAAAATCTACTACTGCTACCACCAATAATAATAATAATGACAAGGGGAATAACAAGGGGAGATAATATAGAACTAAAAGGGGAAAAGGGAAAAAAAACAATAAACAACACGTGATGCACAATACAGTTGCTCACCACCCACTCACCAATATCCAGCCCTACCTGAGCAGCTATCTGGGCCTTCCAGTAACTCCCCACAGTTTATATACATGCTGTGGTATGGAATACCTCTTCGGCTACTTTTGGTCAGGTGTTGGTCTCTGCTTTCCCCTGGCTTCCTGTGCCCCACCTCACTGGCAGAACATGAGACTGAAAAGTCCTTGATTGGAGTTAGCGTTACTTAGCAACAAGTAAAAACATAGGTGTATTTATCAGCATTGTTCTCAGACTAAAGTTGAAAAACAGAGCACTGCACCAGCTACTAAGGAGAAAATTGGCTACTGCTGCTGAACCCAGGACAGCAATGTACAACAGAACAGTCAAAAAAAACCCCAAACAAACAAAACAACCTTAAAAGAAATGTGAAAGAGGAGAATAGAGCATGAACTATTAAAAGAAAAATAATCACTTTCCGTGCTTATTTTTTACCCTGAGTGCCACTGGTAGATAATTGATTTTGATTATGGTATGTCTGAAATAACTTCCATTAGATCAGTAAAAACTACTCCAGACCTACAGTGGATAAGCTTCAGAATTTGCTTCATTAGCAGTGGCATAAATATAATTTCTAATGTCACCATTTTCATGTCCTTATTATAAAGGAGATTTTACACGTCACCACCAGCACTTGCTCAGGTAGTTGAAATAACATGTGTGAGTCTGCTGTCTGCTCTGTTGTAGTCTGTGTGACTGGGAAGCATACCCCTGTGGATGTAAGGGGAATGAGGGTAACAGTTTCCAGAAGGCAGTGCAAACAGGATGTGATTTCCATTGCAAAAAAGGGTGGTATTGTTACTCATTGTGCTGGGGTGCAGGAGCTTAGATTCACCTCCTAGCTCTGCCATAATCTTACAGTGTTAATTTGAGCAAGTCATTCTTCTAGTCTCAGATTGGCATTCCTTCAACAAGGATACTAACACTCAGTTTCTTACCTTTTTTTTGTGTTATTTAAAGGGAAAAATTTTTGGAGGAGGAACCATTTTCTGCTCCATGTGTTTGTTAATATACCAGATAATTGCAACTCCTCAGTCTGTAACATAACCCATCAAGTTCCTAGAGAAAAACCCTGGTGGTTATAAGTTCTCTTTTACCTCTGGGTAAAATGCCCTATGAATAATTTGTGCCTGTTAGGGCAGACAGAGCAGGCTATTTGTATCTTGAATATATATGTTTAGCCTCAAGTGTCTGAGCACATTTTGTCATGTTTCAGTATCTTTCCTCAGAATATGGATGTGCTAGGCGCTTGGGGGGATTTTTATTGTGAGAGAGGCATTTACAGACAGTTTGGGCCTGGCCTTTTCCAGGACATAATCTGATGTACAAACATGAAGCATGGGCCTTGGAAATGTCACCTAAGCCGCACTAGGTCAGTCTTATTGTCTTTGGGTTAACTCACACCCATTATTTCTTAATGAAGACATTTGCAGTGTCTTTTTAGAGCCATTCAGGTGTCTCAAAGATTGCCTGAGAAAAGCTGAAAATAAACCCATTAATTTTATAGATAATTCATGAGAAGCCTGAATAATTCATGATAATTCATGAGAACCCCAGGAGAAACATTTGTGAATTTGTGGGAGATTCAGTAGTTTTGGATTCAGCACCTTGGCCCTCCGTTAAAAGGACCCTAGTTGTACCAGCTGCTACAGTGTACCAGCAGTGTGACCGAGAAGTAGAGATTTGTTGCAAGTTACACCCTATCTTTTCTGATTTTTCTGTTCCTATGCATGATCCTGTTTATCCAGAACCTTCACTGAAGAACTTCAGAGTATTCAAGAAACATGAAACTAGAAGATGTTCTAAAATCTGCCTCTGTTCCTAGCTGTTCGCTGCCTTGCCATGTTTTTAACCTTGTAACAAAAACCAGTCAAGTTTCTTTCCTTGTTGCTAACTTTAAAATTGGCAGCCAGTTAGATCAGGTATCTTAGTATCCCACCTGTCTGCAGTTTGCCTTTTACATGAGGGAGCTGCTGCAAGGTCTTGGGGAAAGGCACAGAGGAATGTTTTTTTAGTTCTAAGTTATGAATTAGATTTGAAGTATTGGGTAATTATAAAGTGGCTTTGGTTAGAAAAATACTTATTTTGGGGCTTGTATATTTGTGTTTGGTGTGTGTAAATATTTGCTCTGAGCTCAGCAAGGAGCTTTTAGTAGGTCTAAATAGACCTTTAAATATTGTTTCTAATACTTGTTGCTATCTGCTTAATGAATATTCCAGCTTATGTTTCATTTGTTTCTTGAAGGATGGTGTGGTGCTGGTCCACTGTAATGCAGGAGTCTCCCGTGCAGCAGCAGTAGTCATTGGTTTTCTAATGAATTCAGAAAGACTGAGTTTTGCTAGAGCCTTTTCCTTGGTGAAAAGTGCAAGACCTGCAGCTTGTCCAAATCCCGGCTTCATGGAGCAGCTTCACAAGTACCAGGAACAGAATATAAAGGCAAATGGAAGCATAAATGATCACAACTGATCAAAAGGGAGAAGCAAAACAATCTGCTTTGACTGTACAGTAACAGATGTTGGATGTACTTTAATGTCATTTTGCAGTTCAGTTTCACATATGCATTTTAAAGTCTTTACATATTTAGGTTTTTTTTCTTACCCCACTTTGACCCCCTGGTCTGAAGGCCAGATGGTATTCCACTGAATTCAGAGGTGATTTTGGCCAAGAACAAGCTCTCCCTCGAGTACTAACAGAAAGACAAAGTTCAATTTTCCTTGAAGTATTAGAAAAAAAAAACCACCCAGAATTATGGTTTTGGTTGGTTGGGTTTTTTTTTGTTTTGTTTTGTTTTTTATTTGACCATAGAATCATAGAACAATTTGGGCTGGAAAGGACCTTAAGATCATCTAGTTCCAACCCCATCAGAAAATGCAGGAAATAGAGAAAGGAAATAAAATAACTGAGATAAGTTGCCCTGTTCACTTTAATACTAAACCAAATGTCTGCACTGTAGTTGGTTGTAAAAGCTAGATAATAAAATGTTGATACAATAAAGCACCTTGATATTGGATTTTAAATTTATATTGCAACTAAAGAGTATTTAATTGAATTTTGTGTAACCATTAAATGTTTTTGGAAATTAAAACAGATGGCCTTTTGAGAATGCTCAAAATATGTTGGATGCTTTAATGCTTCATGTGTTTTTACTATTTCTCATCAAGTAGTGATTTGAAATGTAGTAACACGGTGTTTCCAAAGTGCCTGCACCAGGCTATCTGGGATTTTTAGTAGATTATTTTGGTGGAGATACAAAATGTGTTTATAATGACCTATCTCTGACTCACTGCTACTGCCTTTTCTTTGCATTTGATCTTCGTGCCAGGTTGGATGGGCTTGGAGTAACCTGGTCTAGTGGAAGGTGTCCCTGCCCATGGCAGGGGTTGGAACTGGATGAGCTTTTAGGTCCCTTCCAGTCCAAACCAGTCTGGATTCTGTAATGCTGTGATTAAGTTGCTGTCCCCTCACTCCATTTCATATCAAATATAAAGAACAGACATCATAGCATTGGTACTGTTGATCCTCCTGACAGGTGTTGGGCTGGAATTACAGTATTAAGAAGGCATGGTTTTGTTTTGTTTTAATGTATCTGTAAAATATGCTAATATTTTTATGGCCTTTATGCCAGTTCCAAATTATTTGATATATTAATATGCAATAAATTAAAAAGGACACTGTTTGGATTTTTTTTGTACTGAAGTGATTTGTTAGGCATGGTTTCATTATGTGAAATACAAACTCACTCCTCTAAACAAGATAACAAGGTTTTATTGAGGGACAAAGTCAATAAAGCAAAAGCAACAGTTCTGGGCGCATGACCGTAGCCAGAGGCGCATGTGATTAGTATTTGTTACAGGTTTATATACTTTCACTACTGCATTAGTCATACACATATTCATAATTCCCATGTATAGGCGGGGAATATTATAACTAGCTCCAGGAACTTACTATCATAAGTCTCCTTTTGGCGGCTGTGCGCTGCTCTCCAGTGATTGTGGGCAGGGGTCTTGAGGATGAAGTAACCAGTCTTCCTCTTGCCAGCAGGGGTCTTCAGGATGAAATAAGCAGTCTTCTTCACAGTGTATTTTTCACCTCCGGCACAGTTGGACGCCCCAGGAATCACACAACTAGCTGAAACCAGCCATATCTGCAAAGATTTAAAACAGCGTGACCTTTCTGCAAAATTTGTTGCAGAATGGGCAGACAAGGAGTATCCCAAGCTAGCAGATGTTTGGGAGGCTCTGTCTCTAACTGATAAGTAGAAGGATGGTATGAAATAACTCATTTCATGTTTAGTGGGGCCACTAAATCCTGTTATCTCACCACGGACTTATAACACAAACATTGTTCTTCAGAGCTAAAGGTACTTTAGAAGGATGGTGTGAAACAATTAACTCATATTTAGTGGAGCCACTACATTCCATAGACTTACAACATAAACATTGTTCTCTTTCTACAACCTAAGTTAAGCTAAAAAGTACTTTATGTTTTCCAGGCACTAGCTTTTCTTAAATCAAGTCCCCCCTTCTTTCTTTTACCTTTACAAATTCTTTTGCTATGTGACTCCGTTTTTCTCAAGAGTTCTAGCCCTTTTTAACTTGTCTAATCTTGTGTCTTTAGCGAGCTTTGTTTCTGTTATTGTAAACCGGTACAGTTATACCCACATAACCACCTATGATTTGCAAAAGCCAAGACATTTTTGTGTGTTTATCACAATTAACTGGTAGTGTTCTCTCCTTTTAGCACTAGTTGGAACTGCAGTATATCATCGTATATGATAATAAATTAATTGCTCATAATAAATGCTAATGCAAGGTTTAGGTTACAGGGTGGCTGATTACTGTACTGTGGTCACCATTTCCACGGGGACTGGTCATTGCATTTCCATTGCAGGTGTGCTGATTCGGAGAAAACTCCAGGAACAAACTCGCCAGCAGAGTTTCAAGTTGACAAGCAGGTATTCTTTATTGTGGCGCCGGGAGACACGGGGGATAGCTCCTCCTAATGTGTGTTCCCGTACTGCCATGCAGGCCATCCTTATATGGTCACTGGGCATATTACATCATTTTCCAGAAAGTTTCCGGCATGCATACAAAAATGTGATGGTGGTCTTTAAGGGTCGTTTACTTTTCCCAACAATCTTCATAACCATCTTAATTAACATTACAGATGTAGCAATCATCCTGTCCTTCTACTTACCAGTTAGTTTAACTGCTCCCATCCTGGACATCAGCTAGTCTGGGATACTCCCCAGTAGATGTTTACACCAGCTTAATGGCTTTATTAACACCACAAACAGGAATCATCCTGTTCTTCTACTTACCAGTTAGTTTAACTGTGCCCACCCTGGACATCTGCTAGTCCCAGATACTCCCGGTCCCCAGGTCCTGTTTTTCTCTTCTGCTTTTCTTAACACCTTTTGTACTAAAGTCCTGAGGACCTGAAACTGTCAACTACCTTAAAGTGATATGCGGGATACGTTGTTACAATTGATGTTGTTCTTAAAGCGACAAGGAAAATGGGACGACATGATCTATGCAGATATGTTTTTCATTTTAAGAAACCACCCGGAGTGACAGACTGCACAATTAATATGACTCCGCCAGATCCCTTAATTTTTGCTTTGGAAAAGGACAGGGAAAAACTGAAAGCTAAGATGGAGAGATGTTTTTCAGCTTGTGATATTGGGGAAAGATGTTTCTGGAAAATAAATACGAAAATTATATATCACAGGTACCTCCCAGAGGAGCACCCTCTGTATCTGTCCTATCAGATATTGATAAGGAGGAGATTGCTGTCATTGGCAACGTACAGTACATTCATATTCAGAGTTAAGAAAGGGTTAAACCAGAAGCGCTGTTGCAGAGGCAGGCATCTGTGACCCCTGCAGAGCAGGGTGAGCAGCTGTGAGGGAAAAAAACAAAAGGAAAACCAAGGGGGAAAGGAGGGGAGCTCGAGCAGCTCCTTGTGTTTGAGCACTGGATGGGTGCTGGGGCAGGCAAATAAGTGGGAACAGACATGTTGACAGATGGGACTGAGGGGTTGTTGAATAAATGTGGAGGGGAGTAACGGAGGAAGCATGGAGAACGTATAGGAATTGGGAACAGGTAGAAAAGAAAAGCTAGGTCGTGCTATAGCCACGGCTGCGGTGGTTGCTTTGAAACTGGTGGAGGAGGAATGTCGGGTGAAGGTGGGGGAGTGGACTCTTCTTCTGTGGAATCGGATCGGTGTGAGTGCTATGAGGAGTTTGGACACTGGAAGTGAGACTGCCCTGGGGGTGGTGTGCCTGGGGTGGCTCTGATGACAGAATTGTAACTAGACTGACAGGGACCGGGGGAGTCTTCCCCAGCGGACCCACTGGTTATAATGAAGCCAGGGGACAAAGAGAAGGAAGTAGAATTTTTAGTTGATACAGGTGCAACATATTTAGGGTTGAACAAAGCTTTAATGCCTGTAGGGGATGACTATGTTATGATAAAAGGGACAACTGGCCCATGTGAAAAGGCGTGCTTTTGTAAACCCCTGAAATATCAATTGGGAAAGCAATGGGGCATTCATAAGTTTTTGTATATGCCTAACTCCCCAAAAGCTCTTTTGACGAAAATTTATTAGAACACTTGGAAGCAACCATTACTTTCAAAAGAGGCAAGGTCACTTTAAAAATATACGACCAACAGTATATAGAGAGGTTAAACTTAGTTTGGTTACTAAACACGGCGAAGGAAAAGTCAGGGAAAATATACTGGATCAGGTATTTCCAGGAGTATGGGCCAGTAATGTACCGGGAAGAGCAAAACCACACCTCCTATCCAAATTAAACTTAAGGAAGTAAAACAGACAGTCAGGGTCAAACAGTACCCCTTGAAAAAGGAAAAGGAAGGAAAAAGGAAGGAATTAGACCAGTGATTAAAAACTTTCTGCAACTAAGGTTATTAAGAGAATGACAATCTGACTCCTATTTTGCCCGTCTGTAAACCTGATGGGTCATACCAAGTAGTACAGAACCTACGGACTGTTAACAAGGTAACAGAGGATCTCTACCCTGTAATAGCAAACCCATATACTTTATTAACATGTTTAACACCGGAACTAACCTGGTTCACTGTTTCAGATCTGAAAGATGCCTTCTTTTGCCTCTCTCTTCATGAAGCCAGCCAGAAAATTTTTGCATTCAAATGGGAGAACCCCAAGAGCGGGCACAAAACTCAGCTCACATGGATGGTGTTGCCCCAGGGATTCAAAACCAGCCCTACCCTGTTTGGAGAACAACTGGCAAAAGACATAGAGTCTTGGGAAACTCCATCAGAAAACAGAAAATTGTTGCAATATGTGGACGACCTCCTAGTGGCCGCACAGACTGAAGAATCTTCAGTGGACAAAGGAAGCCACTCAAGCCTTCCACCAATTAAAAAAAACACAACGCCTTGATGTCAGCACCAGCCTTCGGACTCCCAGATGTGAGTAAGCTGTTCTTTCTTTTCTCCCATGAGAAACAATGAACTGCCTTAGGGATACTAGCACAGGACTTGGGCCCATACCAGTGAGCAGTTGCTTATTTTAATAAGCAATTGGACTCTGCATCCAGAGAATGTTCTGGATGCCTCAGAGGCCTTGCAGCAGTCGTGCTGAATATCCAAGAAGCACACAAATTCACCTTGGGCCAGAAAATGACAGTGCTAGTGTCCCATACAGTGGCTACAGTGTTGGAAGTGAAGGGTGGACGCTGGCTTTCCCCTCAGAGGTTCCTGAAATATCAAGCCGTCACTGTGGAACGAGATGATGTAGAGATAGTGGTAACTAACATTGTCAACCCAGCTTCTTTCCTTAGTGGAAACGAAGGAGAACTGGTATACCACGACTGCCTGGAAACCATTGAGGCCACATACTCCAGCTGTCCAGACCTGAAAGATACCCCTTTGGACAATGCAGAAACCTGGTTTACTGATGGGAGCAGCTATGTCCTCAGTGGAAAACGACACGCTGGATATGCAGTCACCACCTGCAGAGAAGTAATAGAATCTGAACCTTTGCCAATAAACAACTCTGCACAAAAAGTGGAACTGATTGCTCTGACTAGAGCCTTAAAAATAGCAAGAGGAAAAAATATAAATGTCTATACAGACTCAAGATATGCATTTGGGGCTATACATGCACATAGAGCTATTTAGAAAGAAAGAAGACTGTTGAATTCGCAAGGAAAAACCATCAAACATGCACAGGAAATAATGTGATTGGAAGCAGTCCAACTACCTGAAAAGGTAGCAATCATGCATATCAAGGCACACCAGAAGGTGAGCTCAGAACGGAAGGAGGGAAATGAGCTGGCAGACAAAGAGGCAAAAGAAGCGGCAAGAGGTGAGACAACAATAGAAGGGGCCCTAATTCCTGATGGGAAAATTTTCCTAGAAGGTAGGCCAAATTATAATAAGAAAGATCAGAAATTAATTTCAGACCAAGGCGGAACCTTCAATGAGGAAGGGTGGGCTAGCATAGCACAGGAAAAAATAATTGTCCCCTCCTCTTTGTTATGGTCCCTAGTAAGGAGTGAACATCAAAAAAGAACTGGGGGGTGGATGCCTTGCATAAATATGTAGTAAGCAAAATTATGGCTAGAAATTTGTATGCTACTATCCAACAGGTAACCCGCCAATGTGATCTCTGCCTTCAAACAAATTCCAAAAATAATCCTAAACCCAAAGTGGGCCAGATTGGGAGGGGTAATGGATCAGGACAACCGTGGCAGATCGACTTTACAGCACTTCCAAGAAAAGGGGAATATAGATACTTATTAGTATTCGCAGATACCTTTTCAGGTTGGCCGGAAGCCTTCCCCACTAGAACTGCAAAGGCTCAGGAAGTAACAAAGACAGTGTTACAGGAAATAATACCACGCTATGGGGTTCCAGCCACTATGTCTTCAGATAGGGGACCACACTTTATTTCAGATGTGGTACAACAAATTAGTAAACATTTGGATATTGATTGGCAACTTTGTGCTCCTTACCACCCTCAGTCAAGTGGTCAGGTGGAGAAAATGAATCATCTACTCAAACAGCAAATTGTGAAATTAGGCCAAGAAGCCAGTCTGCCTTGGCCCCAGGCACTCCCACTGGCCCTGTTGAGGATTCGAACTAAACCAAGAGCATGGGAAGGGTTAAGTCCCTTCAAAATACTATATGGGAGACCATATGAGATTCAACAAGGAACATCTCCCCAAGTGGGAAGAGAAATTATGAACACCTATATAACAGAGTTAGGGAAACAACTTAGAAAGATTGAAAAACATGTGGCTGGGACTCGAAGCAGGGGATTGGATAGACCAGTACATAATACACAACTTGGAGATTATGTATATATAAAATCCCTCAAACCTGCAGGCGAAGAAAATCTTGAACCAGGGTGGAAAGGACCATTCCAGGTATTACTCACGACTTCTACAGCTGTTAAGATCAAGGAGCAGAGTGCCTGGATTCATCTTACTTGAGTTAAAAAGGCTCCGAAGGCCCCCTGGAAAGTCACACCAGGCGGCAACGAATTGAAGCTAAAACTTATCTGAGTGAGATAAATGTACTGTGGGTGGAAATGTTCAGTAACCTAGTTTGCAGAGTTTCAATCAAGGAAATTGTCCTATATGCAATCATGATTTAAATTAATAATAGATGCAGTTGGCATGACCCAGAGCAATGTATCCCTAGCTATTAGTTGTATACAAGGACAATTATGGATGCAGTCAGTAGCTGCCTTAATTATAAGGGAAGGGAGTGAAGGTTTTTTCCCTACTGAGTTTCAAAAGGTTGTTTGGGATAATGCCAATGATTTGGAAAGGAAGCTCCAATCTTGGTGGACCCTGGTAAATCTCACCTATGACCCTATTACGAACATGGCCACAGCTTTTGTGCTTACTATATGTAATGCCACAATTCACATTATCCACCCCATTATTGCACTAGGATTAAACCATGAAGGAACAGTGCTTTATCCCTCTGAACATACAGTATGGGCCCGAATGGTAGGTAAGAGATGACAGACTGTATATTTAAAATCTTGTATTACATGAGAACAACAAGGGTTCATTTGTGAAGGTAACACAATTGATACAAAAGACACATGTCTTGATGTGGAACAAGGCATTTGTCATTCTGAGGTTCATCCAGATAATTACTTGAAAGACTGTACTTATATATATTGGTCAAGGTTGTTTATGCTTAAGAACTGCTTGTACTTTTGTGAGGATAGATGATAATGAAATCGTAACTGCTAAGGACCATTCTAATTTTTGCATTTGTAACTTTATTAGGATTACTGGATGTGACTTCATGTATTTAGCACCGGTTGTATCCCACCAATTGATAAAGTCTAATTACACAACGTACCACAAATTATCACCTATACCCATTGGAATGGACCTTACATTGGTAAGGCAACTGATAAAACACAAAAACCTCATTAACATTTTAAACAAAGGTCAGGAAAATGGAGAGAAAACTTTAATTACCATTCATCATGACACAGAAAAATAAGTAGTCTTGCAAAGGGTAAGACAAGATAAAAGTTACCACTGGTGGGATGTACTTTTCAGATGGTCACCCACTGCAACTGACATTCTAAATCCGTTGTGTCACCCCATTGTTGTTCTTCTAATACTAATCAGTATTAGCTTTGTGTTATCCATTGCGTTGTTTGAAATTAGAAGATGTTACAACGAATAATGATTTTGACTTCTTTACCAAACGTACATGGTAAAGCATTGAAAAATACCTTTCGCGGAAGCTGGTTAAAAGTAAGCCTGTATAATAAGTAAAAGAATTTACTAACTTTATAGAAAAGGGGGGACTGATACTGGGAAATAAAGGGTTAACATTGTGCCTGCTTGCTTAAGCAGTTGCTGTGCTTGGTGAAGCAGAACCCTAGGAGTCAAAGTTGCTAGAATGGTGAAGCAGAATTGTAGGAGTTACAGCTGCTAGGCAGAATTGTAGTAGATGAGATTCACAGTTTAATATTTAAGACATTCTTGTTCAAATAGTATCTTTAGAAAGAAAAGGAACAAAAGATAGCCAGAGTAACAAAATTTATAAACTTGACAAGTTTCTGCTTTAAGATACATAAAACCGGCTTGTACTGAACCTGAAGTTTGGACAGGAGCCGAAACCCTATTGAACATGCGTGAAAGCAAGAGGTTACTCGCGGTGATGAAGTACAGCCCTTCATCCTCACGACCCCTTAACGACCACCACCAGGAGGCACTGCGCAGGTGCACCACTGGGATGAATGCCAGAAAACTAATTATAATACTAGACTGGAATAGGTTTTGCATATGTATTAGGTGTGAAGCAATCTCATGTTTAAGTAATCATTATATGTAATATAAACGAACTGAGTGGCAAAGGGGGGCGCGCATGCTTTTGGAGGAGAAATCCCCATGCACCTCATCGCTGAATAAAGCATACCTCCAACTCTAACGAGTTGTGGAGTCAATGCGCGTATCACACGCACCGCAGTTATTTTTCATTACAAAGCCATCACACTTAACATTGCTTAGAAATGATTACATTTTGTGCTTTTGTGCCTCCTTGTCTCACTGTGCATGGCTCTGTGCTGTCAACCATAGAAATGGCTGCCGGTCCTTTCCCTGGCATGCAAGCTTTCCTGCCTCGCCTCAGCGGCCAGGTTTGTGAGTTCTCAGGCCGTAGGAATAAGCAAAGACAAGCGCTTGTAACGACTGCTACGATTATGTTCAGCTGTGTAACTACCATCATATGGCCCAGGCCCGACCGCCAGGCGCCTGCCCGCAGAAAAGTAAAACCCTTCCTGCCCGCGTTACCGCTCGTAAAATGGCGGGGGGGTGGGCGGGGGCGGATCGGAAGTGCCGGCGGGCGGAAGTTCCGTCGCGTTTGAAAGCGCCTGGCGGAGCAGTTGCTAATCCTTTCTCATCGCTCGGGTCTACGGTGGTTTCCTTCACCATGGAGCCGCCGCCCGCAGGTGAGTGGGGCCGCCCCTCCGTTCCCCGTTCCCGCCGCTGTGCCATGCTTTCGGCTGTTGGGCGGCGCGAGGCGCCTCAGGTGGCCGTTGACCGTTGACCGTCTCTTCTTGCTAGGGCTGCCTGTGGCCTGGTGAGGTGGTGAAGGCAGACGCTGCCTGGCTGAAGTGGGTCATGGGGGACGAGACCAGGGTGCTCTTCTTCCTCGAAGGGAATGTGAAAAGGGGCCGTGTGGCTTAAGCATGCAGCCGGGGCCGGGTGGCGGCAGGGCTGCGGGGAAGCCGCGGTGCCGTGTCGGAGCACGTTTGCTGGGCGGGGACGGAGTAGGACCCGGGGGTGCCCTCATTGCTTTTACATTGGAAGCGCTCCTGAAGCGAAGTCAAACCTGCAATTTTTCTCAGGCCCAGAAATCCAGCCGTAACCAAAGGAGCATATTTTAACAACAAAGGTGTCGCCTTGTATCAGTTCTTGTAGTTGGAAACAGCGTAGGATTGTGATAAACTTTGCTCGCTTGGAAAATAAATGTTTATAACTTAGTCATTTACTGCGTATTGTTTTACATTTCTTCAATAAAACCGTTGTTGAAGCAGTGGAAAAGGCTAAGTGACTTGGGGCCATCCATGCTTCTCAGCTTGTTTTCATTAACACAGGAGCTGAGCCGATGACTCTCGGCTCCCCGACATCTCCAAAACCTGGAGCTAGTGCTCAGTTTCTTCCTGGATTCCTGATGGGTGATTTACCTGCGCCGGTGACTCCGCAGCCACGCGCTTTAACCGGCCCTTCAGCCGGGGTGATGGAAATGAGGTCTCCACTACTCACAGGTCAGAATTCGCTGATTCCTAAGAAACTGTCCTGAAAGTAAAATTTGATTTGTCTTATTGCTCTATGTGACTGTTGCAGACTTGAATTATTGTAAGTTTATAACTTGATGTAAATGACCTCGTTAAAAAAGGGGTAAACTCAAGTGTATTCAGTGAAGTTTGGTTAAATTTTTCAAAGTAGGCTTAAGTTTAATAACTTTTTTTAAACGTGGGATTTTTGGTATCCGTAGAGGTTGCTTTTACAGGCAATATGCACCTCGCCTAGTGTGAAATCAGTTTGTACAGCTCTTGACAAGTTGATTGTACATACAACCATTAGTGTTTTCTCTTGGTTTAAAAGGGAGGTGCCTGCTGGCAAACTAAATGCAGCTTGTGCCAGCTGCAGGTTTATTTGCAGTGAATTCTAACAAGTCACCAAGGCTGTCCGACTTCTAAAAAACAAATGGAGAAAAACTAAAAATAATTACTATCTAGTGGTTGTATTTGCAGTCTTGATGTCTGCTATAATTGGGGTGGAGTAGTGACATTTCCTAGCTGTAGATGCTTATCTCTTTCAAACCACCCAAATGATCCAACTAGAGAAAGTTCTTACCCGTGCTTCTGAATTGTGGAATGCCATGCCTTTTTTTTCTTCTCTGAGAAGTATGAGTGAGTAGGTCTCCTGGGTTAAGCTGGACTTAAACCATGACAGTAGGCGATAGCTTCACTGATTTATTTCATGTGATGGGTGATCTTGGCTTTTGTATTGAATCGGTTGATATAATGTATATATCTTGTTAGTGTGCTAGTCATTTTGAAGGAGAAATTGAAAATTAAAGTACTGCAAGGTAATGTAGATATTATTTTCATTCCATTTCAAGCAGAATTGCACTTGCTGATCTTTCTGGGTCCCTTTCAGCCTGAGCTGTTCTATGATTGGTGGTGTGTTGGTTTCCTGCTTCTTGTTCTTGTTAATTTCCCCTGTTGTCTGCCTATTGTTTGCTCCACTCCACTTCCTCCTCTCCCCCCCTCCCCAAGCCTCTTAAGTAAATATTTATGAAATTGAAAATAGTCATGTGTATTTCACCTGTTTTTGAAAGGCTTCATTACAGCCTTAGAGTATCAGTTCTAGAGAAGGGAGAACCAGTAGGATACTAACACAGGTCTCCTAAAACGAGTGATTAAGTATGTCCCTTAAACTAAAAACCTTGATGAGTGTGCACTTTATGATACGCTGTAACAGTTTCTGGATGTGTTAAAACATCAAAGGGGAGTCTTGAAGCTCAGAATTTAGAATTGAGAAATACTGTGGAAAAGTTTAATTTCACATGTTTTGCAAGTGAAAACTGTTAAGCCAGACTACTTCCCCTCCCTCCCCCCTTCTTTTTTTTTTTCTGGGGGAGCCCACACAGGGAGTTCAGAGGTATGTCAAGATCTTTCAGTCAGTTTAATTCTGTTATATTGGAAGTCCCAAAGTTTGAGAAATGGGAGAGCTTGTTTAACTTCATCCTGCTCATAACGTCACTGCTCTTAAGATCCTATGTTTTTAATATGAAATCACATGGGAAGGAGAGGAATTTGGACAGTGGGAATGTGACAGCATGTGCAATGTCTGTGTGCATTTTGATGTTGTTCTTCAGCATGTAGAAGGTCTGAAAAACCTTGCTTTTGCATCTCTGCTACAGAGAACTTAGTCTCTGAAACAAT